CCTTTCGATGTCTTTCACCACTAGAGTTCCATTTGGGTAAACCTTCTGCCGGTGGTTGTACGGAAGACGGACGCCCTCTGAATTTTTACGAAATTTTGTTACAACAGAAATAAATTAAAAAACTATATATAAATATATATATATATATATATATATAACTTAGCAATTGATGAGAAAGTCGACAGTTAGTTATGTTCGACAAATATCAAATGGTCTTTTCCAAAAACTCGAAAAACTTGGTGAGTTGTTAGATAGTTTTTAAAGTTACGCATTCAGTTTTACAAAGAAGAGTTGACACACAATCTATTACCCACATTTGAAGATTATCATTGCCACATTATCCAAATCGCTAGAAAGCGAGTCTAAACCGGTTGGATAGTGGTAAACTTACGCACTTATAACGCTAGAATCCGGGGTTCGATTCCCTGCCGGGGATACAGGAGATAGCCAATGTGGCTTTGCTCTAAAACAAACAAACTGTAAAATTAATATCTGTCTAATACTCTAGCAATGTGTTATAGAAAAATATAACACCCATTCCACACTCGAAAAACGTTCACGCAAAAGAATAACACGCGTCTTATACCACAGACAGATTTTACAGAGAAAAGTCGCTTCAATCTTAAGAAAATTATAATATTGAACCAATTCTTCATACACGTGTTCAACAGAAAAATAGATACACAACAATAAATCAGACATCTTTCTAAACTATTAACGCTAACCCATCAGAGGGTCAACGCATTGCAATTAATGACCGAACTGATATTGTGTCTTGTTAGAAACAGACAATAAAAACTTCCTCACATAAGATAATACAGACAGCTATTTAAACCCACCTCAAAACAGATATTGTAGATAAAAATTACCCCTTCACTATCTAGTAGGATTCACTCAAGCGACTAAATATGACCTAAAACAAGAAATACGTACACGAGTGATGTATACCCCAAAAAAGTGTTAATTAGCATAATCACATAAAAAGTAGGCATCAGCAGACAATTAGCATGCTTTCCACCTATGAAAAATACTTTACAAAGAAAAGGGACATTGCCACCCAGTTTTTCTAGAAACAAGTAACGTCCATCTCTGTTTAAGAAAGTTTCAAGCAAAATGTTACACATAGGAGTCGGATTTATTCAGATTAAAAATCACTTCACAATCAAGTAGGTCGTTTTTAAAGGAAAATTACACCTCAGTAAGATGACTTACATACAGGACTAAGATCTCAAAAAGTAGGTCTTAAAAAACATAGTAAGATGTTAATAAGATGTTTTACAGAGAAGAGTAACATCCCAATAAGAAGACTTACGAAGAAGAGTAACATCCCAATAAGAAGACTTACGAAGAAGAGTAACATCCCAATAAACAGATCTTACAGAGGCTAATTGAGGTATTACTCTTTTAAGATCCGCTAATTCAGGTGTTATTAATCTCTTTAAGATCCGCTAATTGAGGTGTTACTCTTCTCTGTAAGATCCACTAATTGAGATGTTACTTTTAAATCTTACAGAGAAAATTAATACTTCAATAAGCATATATTACAGAGAAGAGTAACACATCAATAATAAATTCTTACAGAGAAAAGATAAATTTCAGTAAAACACCTACAAAAAAAGTAAAATTTTGATAATCAACTCTTACAGAGAAGAGAAATAAAGAGTTCTTATAGTGAAGCGTAACACTTCAATAATGAGGACTTATAGATTGTTCAAAACATTAAGGTTTATTGGGCAAAGAAAGGATTCAGGAAATAAATCTTACATAGAATACTAACATTTTAATAAATAATGCTTACACGGCAAAGAAATACGAAGATCATAGAGAGAGAGAGGAAATTCCTCAATCAGGAAGCCTTACAAAGAAGACTGAAATCTCAATAAGCAGGCCTGAGAGAGAAGAGTTAGGCTTCAAAAAGCAAGTTTGACAGAGAAATGTATCTCTTTAAGATATAGGCCTTCTATAAGTGTAACACCTCAATAAATAGTTTTTCCAGAGAAGTGTAACACCTCAATAAGCAGGCCTTTTAGAGAAGTGTAACACCTCAATAAGCAGGCTTTTTAAAGAAGTGCAACACCTCAATAAGCAGGCTTTTTAAAGAAGTGCAACACCTCAATAAGCAGGCCTTTTAGAGAAGTGTAACACCTCAATAAGCAGGCTTTTTTAAAGAAGTGCAACACCTCAATAAGTAGTTCTTCTAGAGAAATGTAACACCTAAGTTAGCAGATCTTTTAGAGAAGTGTAACATCTAAATTAGAAGATTTTTTCGAGAAGTTTAACACTTCAATAACCAGGTCTTTAGATAAGTGTAACACCTAAGTAAGCAAATCTTTTAGAGAAGTATAACACCACAATAAGTAGTTCTTATAGAGAAGTGTAACACTTCAATAAGCAGGTCTTTTAGAGAAGTGTAACATCTAAATAAGCAGACCTTCTAGAGAAATTAAACACCCCAATAAGTAAGTTTTCTAGAGAAGTGAAACATCTAAAGAACTAGAAAATATTTATAGTAGTGACACTAAACTTTATACAGTATTTTTACACCTGTTTGACTTCCACTTCATCATCTAGACGGTTGTTGAACAAAAGTAACATTTCTGTGAAGCAGAGTTAACACAAAGAAACAGCCTCTCTTATTATTACTTACTAGAGAATGTGCAAGAGAAAAATAACTACTATAATGAACAAATGATTAGGCCTCCGTGTTTCTCACATTTTACAGTTCGTTGGAACATGAAAATGAAAATTGAGAAAACAGAGCTATGAAACATGGCTCTGTCAAAGCTTTCCTTTCCGTCTGAGTTTTTGTTTTTACACAGTACGCTGCGTTTTCACAGTTTATGGACACTGTGTTACAGCAAAACAATATAATTTGATACTTTATTTGTAGTCGACATTTGAGAAAACATGTCTGTAGGTATGAAAGTCCACTAAGGCGCCTGTTTGTAGTTGAATTAATTAAACTATCTTATTGTGAATACGCTAAAATTCTATTAAGTTTAATTAATGGAGTAAGATACCAGACATGCTCGAGAATTCGGTACTTAATCTAAATTGTATATTAACGAGTACAACTTTAGCAACTTCTAAAAAATCTTAATTTTAAGCAGTACTAAAACTGAAGAGAGATAAAAACATATACTCAAAAGTTGTTGGAGGCTGAATTATTACAAAAAATAAACGTAATTCCAAGTTGTTGGATATTGTATCACTGATATAAATATATACACTCCAAAGTCGTTGGAAGCTGTATCATTAATATAAATAAATACACTACAAAGTTGTTGGATATTGCATCATTAATATAAATAAATACACTACAAAGTTGTTAGAGGTTGTATCATTAATATAGATAAATACATTACAAAGTTGTTGGAGGCTGTATCATTAATATAAATAAATACACTACAAAGTTGTTGGATATTGCATCATTAATATAAATAAATACACTACAAAGTTGTTGGAAGTTGTATCACTAATATAAATAAATACACTACAAAGTTGTTGGATATTGCATCATTAATATAAATAAATACATTACAAAGTTGTTGGAGGCTGTATAATTAATGTAAATATATACACTACAAAGTTGTTGGATATTGCACCATTAATATAAATAAATACACTACAAAGCTGTTAGAGGTTGTATCATTAATATAAATAAAAACACTACAAAGTTGTTGGAGGCTGTATCACTAATATAAATATATACACTCCAAAGTTATTAGAGCTTGTATCACTAATATAAATAAATACACAACAAAGTTGTTGTATCACTAATATAAATATATACACAACAAAGTTGTTGTATATTGCATCATTAATATAAACAAATATACTCCAAAATTATTGGAGGTTGTATCACTAACATGAATAAATACACTACAAAGTTGTTAGAGGTTGTATTATTAATAAAAATATTCTAATCTGCTAGAGGTTGTATTATTCATATTTCTAATTCTTTATCTGTTACTGGAACCCGTAAAATATTAACTTTTTTCCATTATTAAATAATCCCTTTTAGTGTTTTAAAACTATGCTCCCAAATTTATTAACAGAAGAATGTGGAGACGAATTTACTAATATCGTCATCACACCATACAGTTTAAATAACAAACGTTAATTAAAGAATTAATGTAATATATATAATTAATCAATACTATAAACGTAAATGTAAATCTAATTAGTACGTATAACCTAACAATCTGATATCACCATATATAAGCTGTTACTATATCATATAATCCAACAATGATAATACTTTGTGATAAAAATTATGTTAACTGCTGATGTTTTTAGTTACATTTCTCTTAATTTGTCCACTGTGGATTCAAAATCAGGGGGCGTGTAAAATAACATTCCAGATCTACGTTTTCTCTCCCACAAATCACAGCCAAAGAGACGTCTTTGATTTTGAATCCGTGGTGAACAAAGTAAGGGAAATATAGATAAAAACATCAGTAGTTAACGCGATTTTTATCACAAATGCTAGGCCTATTGATTTCTAATGCTTCGACATCTGTCGGCGTTTAAACTGTAACTTTTACAGTATTATATTGGATATATAAATATTATGATAATTGTTTGTCTCTTATCGTTCAGCACCACTGACAAGTTTTTGTATAACGAAAGGTCTATTGGGCAATAACTTGTGAGAGACAAAAGATATATCTGAGTGTAATTTTCACAAGCCTCATATTTCCAATTTGCAATGGACAAACAAGGAGGAATATGAAAAAATTATCTGCAATTAACGTGATTCCATCATAAATGTTAGGCCTATAGGTTTTCAATGTTTCCCAGCTACCGGCGTTTAAACTGTTAAATTTAAAAAGTAGAATTTATTAGGTTGTAAATCAAACATGTAAAACAAATGCTATATTTAAGTTTGGTCTACAATCGTCTCAATTAACCACTCATTATTAATTTCAAATATAAACTGTATATTTGCTAACAATTGTAGAATTCAAGAATAGCAATAAATGTTAACTATAAATACAGGCTAAAATAACTTATTAATTTCAACAATGATCCAACTAGTAAAACAGAAAAAATAATAATAGAATTACGAAATACTTCTATGCTATAGAAGGACCTCAACAACAATAATTAGCGTTACTGTTGTTTAAATAGACGTTTTAATTATCTAAAATAGAAAACAACAGAGAAACTACATTGGTTTCTACCTACCACGCTCCCATACTATAGAGTCAATAGGATAGCCACCAACCGGACAATGTAGTATCATAATCTCCCCGGCCACCACAGAAACATTCTTCATAGGCCGTACAAAAGGTGGACCAAGCACATTAATTTTAGCCGAATGAATGACTTCTCCAACATCACTTCCTGCTTTGCAGCTATAGGTGCCGCCATCTTCCGGTTGAATATTAGAGATATTAACATAACTTATAACACGCTGATATTGGGTGACGTAATCCCCCATACGTAGACGAGGACTGTCGGGAATGGAGATTCCATCCAAGGACCATGTAACCTGAGGCAGAGGACCACCCTGTGCCACACACCTTAGAGTCAAAGATGAACCAGGCTGTAAGGTCTGTCCACTAAACTTTTCTTGAAGTGAGGGCTCATCCTCTGGTAGTGAATGAAAAAAGATTGATAAATTTCTGTCTCACTGCCTCGTGGAACAGAAGAACAAAAGAAACAGATAAGTTCGATTTAAAGAATGTTTTAAAATTTTCCCAAAAGTCTGTTTTCTGAACATCCAAAAATAAAAGAAAATCGAATTTTCGTGACTTAACTCAAGTGAATATTGCGACTAACTGAGTTAACATGGGAAACGAGAGGAGGGGGGGGGCTACTGGGCTTGGCCTATTTCTCCGAAAATTATGGGTTTTAATCCAGAATTTTGCGATAACAACTCAAAACGGATTCAAGAGGTTCGCTTAAAATAGTACTATATGCCATAGTTTCATTTTTTAAATGGTAAATATTATTGTGTTATCATTAAATGCCAAATATAAAAGTTTTACTTCTTGAGTTTCTTTACACCAACAAATCTTTAAGACATTTGCTCACCAGTCCCAACAATATTTAACTATTATTGTTCTGATTTTGAGATTACGATATTGTCTATTAACACATGAGAAACAGTTAGTAGTGATGACGTTAACGGTTTTCGGTAAACATTTAAAATATATAGAATCATTTACTTTTATCAACATACAAAAGAATTGCGACTCGTCTTTTTAGAGAACCTAGTAGCAACAGTTACTATATGACAATACATTACGTGATGCCCCCCAGTGACACAGCGGTAATGTCTGCGGACTTACAACGCTAGAATCCGGGTTTCGATACCCGTGGTGGGCAGAGCACAGATAGCCCTTGTGTAGCTTTGTGCATAATTAAAAAGAAAGAAGAAAGAAACATTACGTGATGAGCTGTAATTAGATATGGCTGTAGTTAACGGGAGATGTCGACATAGTTGAAAAACACAATGTTTAAGCGACACTGCAAAATACTGCATGTAACTTGTGTATAATTATTTTATTTCAGATGGCTTTATATTATGATCATTACGGTAAGAAACGTGAATAAGTTATCTTTCTGTAATTAGCATGTCTACAGACACTAGATTTTTCTGATCAGTAATATAAGAGTATTTGTGTTGTATTTGCTCTGTAAATGAATAAGATAATAGATTATGAAATATTCTGATAATCTGAACTTTTGCCTTTTACATAGTGTCAAGGAATCGAGTGTTATTCAGTGGAGTTTAGTACTAGTTGATAGCCGGACTGAAGGTCAAGGAATCGAGTGTTGTTCAGTGGAGTTTAAGACCATTTGGTAGCCCTGACTGAAGGTCAATGAATCGAGTGTTGTTCAGTGGAATTTAGTACTAGTTGATAGCCCTGACTGAAGGTCAATGAATCGAGTGTTGTTCAGTAGAGTTTAGTACTAGTTGATAGCCCTGATGGAAGGTCAAGGAATCGAGTGTTGTTCAATGGAATTTAGTACCGGTTGATAGCTCTGACTGAAGGTAACCCATACTTGTTATTAATTTTGACGTATCTGTTCTCAGTTCAGAAGTACCAGGGTAATTATTTTTTTATGGGACTTTATTTTTGTTTGTCTGTGAATTTAATTCTTAAAATTTGAGCGTTTTATAGAACCAGAGACAACCTTTTCAGTTTCTTAGTACATATACTGTTACTTCCGGCCAGTGATAGACAGGTGATATATACGATGCCAAAAAAGCCAACAACATGCAGAGTCATATCGGAGTTAGACTTACGAGTTTACAGAACAGACTGTAACCCATGTAAGAGTCATATCTGAGTTAGATTTACAAATTTACAGAACAGACTGTGATCCAAGTAAGAGTCATATTGGAGTTAGACTTACAAGTTTACAGAACAGATTGTGACCAAAGTAAGTGTCATATCGGAGTTAGACTTGTTTGTTTGATGTTTTTATTTTTGTTTACATTTTATGTTGTCCATTTTTATCCCTTCTAATTAACAGAACAAATACTTATTTTTACTTGGACTTCGATCTTAAATTCGTAACTTTTAAAGTATTTTCACTTATAAACAATCACTGTTCCTGAGACAGGTTCACAGTCTGCTTTAGTTGTGTGACTCTTTGATAAATTGTGTTTAAGTGAAAAGTTCTGAGCTAGGTTTATGGTCCGCTCAGGCCGTGTGACTCTTTGATAACTTGTGTTTAAGTGAAAAGTCCTGAGCCAGGTTTATGGTCCGCTCAGGTCGTGTGACTCTTTGATAAATTGTATTTAAGTGAAAAGTCCTTAGCCAGATTTATGGTCCGCTCAGGTCATGTGACTCTTTGATAAATTGTGCTTACTACTAGTGGCAGGTCCTGAACTAGGTTCATAGTTTCCAATCAGGTCGTGTGACTCTTTAATAAGCTGTCTTTACCTTAAGTGACAAGTCCTGAGCCAGGTCCACTGCACAATCAGGTCGTGTGACTCTTTAATAAGCTGTCTTTACTTTAAGTGACAAGTCCTGAGCCAGGTTCACTGCACAATTAGGTCGTGTGACTCTTTGATAAACTCTGTTTAATTTAAGTGGTTGACTTTTAGGAACCTTTGTTTAGTTGAGGTTATAACTGTTATACGATATCCGGGCAGCTGGCATATGTTAATTTGAACACAAAATGAATATTTTTTTTACCTCTAACTTTACACTCCGTCTTATAATTGTAGCTATCGTTGTTATAAAATGGTTCCTCATTTTTCTGTTAGCATTGTTATGTTTTTCATGTTGTAATGCCATTTTTGATATATCATTGGTACAGTATTACTTTGAACAATATTTTAGTAAATCTATATAAATCATAAATAATAACTTGTTTTCTGTTTCGTGAAGAATCTCAACCATGTAATTGTTTGTGAATTGAATAATTGTAAATTTTAAAATTCTAGTCAATGAAATACATTTTTGAACAACATTCGTTACTTATTGTCTCACATCTTTACCTTCTAGACTCAGCTCTCCAGCTGACTGCACAGATTCCCAGTCACTACTCACGAAGCATTGATACATCCCCTTGTCGTCTCTTCCAACTGATGAAATGTATACAACATTTCTTGATACCAACTGGCGCTTCTTTTCGCCCTCTAGTGGCTGTTGGTCCTTTCTCCATTCCACGTTCGAAATTGGTTGTCCTAAGATAGAACAGTTAAACGAAGCGGATTTTCCTATGTCAATCACCTGGCGTCGAGGGTGTATTTCGACCGATAAAGGCTCTAGAATATGAAAAGATGACATGTTTGGTTGTTAAAAATGTGCAATGAAATAAGATAACATGGAAATCCTGCTGTAGTGGACTTTCCAGTACTGTAATAAGCTACAGATGAAATTTACATCTATCACCCATGTGTAAAAATGTCTTCTTCCAGAGTTATAACAACCACGCGTACAGGACAAATATCATCATAATCACTCTGCTCAGAAATTATACAAGCTTATAGGTCAAATGTATAATGTTTCTTTCAAGACTATTTATTGCATTTTTAATTTCAGCATACAACACAAACAAAGGAAGCCAGATCAATGCTAATAAACATGTAGCATTGGGCAACTGTCTTGATAAACCCTTAGTAAATATCATCACAAAATTATCTTCTTTTGAATAATACAGATAAAGCAGAGAAATTATGTCGCGATTAGATTCTCAGGACCATTTACACGTTTACACGTTGTGGAGTGTGTATTCTGAACCTGGGAAAAGGTTTCGCTAGTGCATGCATAAACGGACTTCTTGACAAATACCATATGGGTCTAAAAAAAAAGAAGCTTCAGCATCAAATATAAGATCTTTCTGTGTTATTGAACATAACTCAACACAGCAAAGAGCAACTCTAATACTTGTACCAAATCCTTCCCTACTATATAAGTATTCAACGCTTCTCTGATATACTTCCCCATTGCTCAGTAGAATAAAATAATAAACAAAGATAGCCTTCCAGATCTTTCGCTATCTCTCGTATAAATTCTAGGCTTATTTCACCAATGAACATTTTCTATCCTCTACTGTCTAGATCGACTAGGATTATGTTAATTTTAAGGACTTATACTGAACCGTAAGATACATATATTTCTATATAAATCTCATATGAATAATGTTAATTTCTTCACTTGTAACTATTTTATTTATAGTATGAGGTGCTTATGGTCAAGTGATTGAGAATGCATCACCAAACTTTAGCGTAGATTACCTGCATTGTTATACAAGTCTCACACAGAAAGTAAACTACCGAACTTATAGATATGAATGGTGGAAGAGGTCCAGCGGACCAGGTATATATATAGCTGTGCATCATACAGATATTCCAGTAAAATAAAACAGAGAAAATATCTTAAAAACAATTTTCAGATTTTTAAAGACAGTCAACTTTTAAATAACATTTAAATTTATGCAATCAAGAATTAAACAGTTAAGGTTCGGTGCAAGCATTTAATAACAGCGTAAATAAGGCAAGTCTTTCTTCTCTCTATTAAAATATCTAATAACCAGCCCCTCAGTGACACAGCAGTATGTCTGTGGACTTATAATGCTAGAAACCGGGTTTCGATACCCGTGGTGGGCAGAACAAATATAGCCCTTTGTGTAGCTTTGTGCTTTATAACAAACAGCAATCTAATAATAATGACAGCTTCTGAATATACAAACTTGTAACAATAAAGTAGATTTCCAGGCTACAAATCTTTAACAATGAGGCAAGTGTCCGCTCTCTACACTCATCTAACAAAAGGACAGTTTCCATCGTCTGTCAATCTCTAACAGTAAAGTAAGTTTCCGTCGGCTACAAATCTTTAACAATGAGGCAAGTGTCCGCTCTCTACACTCATCTAACAAAAGGACAGTTTCCATCGTCTGTCAATCTCTAACAGTAAAGTAAGTTTCCGTCGGCTACAAATCTTTAACAATGAGGCAAGTGTCCGCTCTCTACACTCATCTAACAAAAGGACAGTTTCCATCGTCTGTCAATCTCTAACAGTAAAGTAAGTTTCCGTCGGCTACAAATCTTTAACAATAAGGCAAGTTTCCGTTTTCTGTGTTCCTTTAACAAAAACCAGGTTTCAACTGTCTGTGAACCTCTAACAATAAAGTAATTTTCTGCCATTTACTCATCCTTAAAAATAAAGCAACTTTCTGCTATTTTCAAATCTTAATTCACCAATAAGGCGAGTGTGTTCTTCATATTCTTATAATGATGAAGTAGGTATAAACCCATTTTCACTGTGTGTTAATCTGTTACTATGAAACTAATCTCCTTTCTTTCAACGTTTTAACAGTCGAGTAGACTTCTATTCTCAGTATTAGCATCTTTAACAATCAGGTAAGCCATCGCCTACAGATCTGCAGTACTTATGAAATCTACTGTGTTCCACTGATCTCTAATGATATCATGATCCTTTCAGGCTATGAATCCCATACACAAACTGTAACTGACAGTACAAAGCCTCAAATGGTTTGCATAATAAATTCTAATCGAATCTCAATTTCGTCGTTTATTTCTAGTATCAAAATCAAAGAATCCTCACTCTTTACATACAATGACAACTAGTCAAATCTCTGTTAATCAGACGAGTCTTAACTTCTACTTTCTAACAATCAAACGAATTCGCAGCGTTTTGCAAATCTCGCTGCCTACTATCCTGTAACAATCAACTATCTTCTCTCTACAATTCTCTGACAATAAGGTGCCCTTCCTCTTCTCTACAAATTGTGACAATCAGATGAGACTTTTCTATACAATAATTTTTAAAAAAATTAATAAAATTTCAGCTCTATGTAAACCACTGACAATTAGGAAAGTCTCCATTTTAAAAACACCAAACAATTAGATTTGTCCCCACTGTTTAATAATATTTAATTGTTAGATAAGTTCCACTGTGAAATCCTTTAGCATTCATTTGGATTTTTGTCCTGTAGTAATCTTGAAAAATCAGTTGAATCTTCGCTGTATACAAACCAACAGTAACCATGTAAATTTCCTCTCTCGAAAAACGGCTAACCATCAAGCGATTCTTTATTTTCTAGAAATCTCTAATACACCAGCAAAAGTGCACTGTATACATCATAACCAGGCACAGATTCATTGAAACTGTTCAAAGCTGGAGGACAGTAAAGATTCATTGTAACTGTTAGAGTTTAGAAGACGTACTTTCACGTGGTTACCTGAAGTCTTAGAAAAGCTGAGAATTACTTGGTAACTGAATATTTATTAATAGCAGGAATTTATCTCAATGTTAGAAGTAGCATACGATAGAGATTCACTTTGTTGTATGAATAAATCAGAGATTTACTGTCCTCTAGCTTTTAACAGTTTCAATGAATCTGTACTGTCCTCTAGCTTTTAACAGTCAGATTAATCTCTGTTGTTTTCTAACCTGTAACAGTCAGATGACTCTGCTGTTTTCTTACATCTAACAGTCAGATGAACCTCTGCTGTCTCCTAACCTCTAACAGTAATATAAATCTCTGCTGTATTCTAACATCTAACGATCAGATGAATCTCTGCTGTCTTTTAACCTCTCACAGTCCGATGAATCTCTGTTGTCTTCTAACTTCTAACAGTCATAAGAAGCTCTGCTGTTTTCTAACATCTAACAGTCAGATGAATCTCTGCTGTCTTCTAACATCTAACAGTCAGATGAATCTCTGCTGTCTTTTAACCTCTCACAGTGAGATGAATCTCTGTTGTCTTCTAACTTCTAATAATCAGATAAATCTCTGCTGTCTTCTAACCTCTAAGAGTCGGATGAATCTCTGCTGTCCTCTAGCATCTAACAGTCATAAGAATCTCTGTTGTTTTCTAACATTTAACAGTCAGATGAATTTCTGCTGTCTTCCAACTTCTAATAGTTAGATGAATGAATCGCTTTTGTCTTCTAACCTCTAACAGTCATATGAATCTCTGCTGTCTTCTAACCTCTAACAGTCAGCTGTTAATAACCCTAAAATAATCAAGTGATTCTCTCCTGTCTAATAGCTCTCCCCCCAATGGCACAGCAGTATGTTGGACAGAGAACAGATAGCCCTTTGTGTAGCTTTGTGCTTAACTACAAACAAACAAACTCTCTAATAGTTAGGTAAATCTATGCTGTTTTTCAATCATTAGCAAACACATGGATGACTACTTTTTAGAAACCACTGATTATTGAGTGAATCTTCATTCTCTACTAACCTATTACAGTAAGATAAGTTTCCGCTTGTTCTGAGCCAAGACTGTTGTTAACAAGACAGATGTATCTTCCTCCGTCTTCTGTCCTAACGCTTCGTATCCTCAATATTCCATCCACCAGAAAAGGCCTGACTCCATTTTTTATGGGCTTCAATTGGACTCCATCGTGTTTGTACCACAAATAGGAGGGTACAGGATAACCCCTTGCAGCACAAGGTAGTTCTGCTGTTTCTCCTTGTTTCACCACCACACGTCGTCTAATATCTATGATTTTTGGTGTCATAATAGTAGGTTCTGTAACATAAGGAATAATATTATTTATATCAATATTCGTTGATCATCTGAATTTTAATTGTTGAAAGCTAGCATTCTTTTTAATAAATAAAGCAAAATAAATAAATAACGTTATTTATTTATTACCATATGATTATATATATAAGCTTGTGCTTCACCTGTTACCACAAGTTGGCCCTTGGTGGCGCTAGTGTGAATTTTTTGAGTCAGTCTATGTTGAGTTTGACATTGGTACCAATTGTTGTTATCAGAGGACTCCACTTGTCGAATATACAGTTTTCCAGACGGAAAGACGGTGTATCGACCTGATTAAAGAGTGATTCGACAGTTATTAGATGTCACGCCTACCTAGAATAATTATATTAGGGTGTATCATAGCATTTAGACACAACAAAAACATTTTGAAGCTTTGCGTTGGTTCTCCTTGTTTAGGTTGTCACGTATTTCGAAACGCAGAAATACTTGCTCTGTTGCCTTACTTATATTGAACAGTATCTAGTTGAGTAATAATATTGTTTCGTAATATCCATCTAGTATTGATTATATGTAGCATACGAAACCATAAAATGGACGTGTTCATATAATCTATCTCTCTATCGTTAACACGAAATTACACTGAACAGTAAAGTGCAGAGGACAATAAAAGGGCAGGGACTCATTAACAAAAGGGGCACTTTTCAAACTTCGCAAAGCAAGCCTGTTTTTATTTCGGGAAGGGGGAAGTGTTACAGGAGACCATAGGGACTCTGGGTTGCCTCTGGTATACACAAGGTACATTTCCATGAGAAACAAACAAGTCCTCTTTTATTCCTATTAAATTGATCTTATAAACACTTTTATTATCTAAAACTAAATAATGAATATTTGCGTATGAACACTTAATAGCATATGAGAATTATATATATATATATATAGATAAAAGTTTCTTTAAAGTCCTACAAGACCGCGTGTTCCATTTATTTTAAAGCTGAAATTCTTTTTTTTTCTCTCTCTCTCTTTCCTAACAACTCACAACTAGCAAGGAGAGCTTGTTATTTTTTTGTACTTGTTGACAATTTTTATGTCAGAGAAACAAGAGCACTTTTATGGCATAAGAGCACGAAGTCAGGGGCTTGATTCCCCCCCCCCCTTCTGTGCTCGTCACTGACGTTGAAGTTGAACTACTAATTCTAGACTTAACAAACAAGATGTAGTCCTAATATTTGTAACAATCTATTATAGGAGCACTAACAATATAGCAAATACTTGGAATTATTTTTTACAGATTGAACCATTAACGAGCACAACAAACTAACAAACGTTCGAACACTGGCTTTAGAATGGGGAAACTTACCCTCTGTGAATGTTGGATATATGACAACAGAGCCATCCTTCAGCCATGACGTCACCGTAACGTATTTTCGGACAAAGTCTGGAATGTGACATTCTAATACAGCTGTGTTTCCCCTGACTGCATATGTTTTGTAAACTTCAACCACGTAGCTTTGTAGCACAACTACAAGTGTAAGAAATTGTAATGTTTGTAACTTGCATGAAATTCACGTTTGAGTCTATAAAAATCAATTCATACGCTGCAGTGACCTTTTAAAGCAATGTATAGTTATTCTGTAATTTTCTAAAATACCATAAATATCAAAGTAACTTCCCATGACGTAACTCGCGCTATAGTATTCTGGTATACAGTAAAACAAGTAGTAAAATAACAGTCAACGTTTCTAAATTTTAGTATCAAACGTCTTGAATTTCTAAGATGTAAAAGATACCACTTTAGAACCTTTCAAACTGCAGCACATTTACAACCAAACATTCTAAATTACAGAAATTACTCAAGAACATTCAGAGTTTTTAGTATAAATATAACGGAGAGTAAGGACTTCTAGGACATGTTACAACTTTCTTAATAACACTGAAATAACATTATAATCTTCAATCACTTGTAACTTGTATTTATCATTGTATTTAAATGTGCATAAATATCCATATTATAAACTTACCAAGTACACACCGGGATACGTTATAACCTCATGAAGCACTGGTGGCTTTCATTTAACCGTGTAAAACACATAACTAACTAAAATGGCCTTAACTTATATATAACTTACTTTATAACCTCATGAACTACAGAAAACTTAGGTTCTAATTTTTCAAAACGCAGTAGTTTTGTGTTATACTTTTCTAAAAACAAGCGGCCTAGGGAATATTCTTAAAAGTCAGTAAATGGGCAGTAATGCTTCTTAGTAGTTTTAGGATTAACATAAAAATATGTATTTTAAAAGTCACGAAAAAAGTGTTTGGAAATGGAATAATTAAAAACACAAATATCAACGCTTGAAGAGACTTGTGAATTAAGAAAAACGAATAATACCATATATATATATATATATATATAGAAAGAGAGAGAGATATCTGTGATTTCTCTAAATTATAAACACATTTCATTCAAAAATGATCTAATCTAGAACGCTAAATATGCTTTCTTCCAGTTTCCTTCTACTAAATAAATCAAGTTTACTTTAGCATATTAAAATTAATGTTCAACACACCACTCTCTCAAAGTGTTGAAGTTTGTCATTTACATCAGACAGAACTATAGTAATTGCTTATAATAAATAACAATGCTAAATCTCTTGTTTATTTCGTGTAAATTAGTTTTGTGTCCCAGTTAGTCTGTTTGTTTTTCCAGCAGGTCTTCATTAAAAATAAAATAAATCTCTGATGCCGAACTACTTTAGCTTTAAGACTTAATTTTTCAAATATTTTAGTAAAGTAAATTTAAGTTTTGTCCACGGACACATGAATACATTATTATTATTATTATAGTTCAAAAGAGGTTTTGGGGGATGACAGTCAACATTTTCAACTGTTTTTAATGATGGTATTCAATTTGTGCAGTAAAAAATAAATTGGGATGGAATAATCCACATCCATAGCTAAGTTGGTCTGATTACACTTATGTCTAAATTTTTTAATTTGCAAAGTGTTTTATTCGGAGACTGCGTTCATGATTGTCTATAGTAAACATTTTTAATAAAAGTACTTTAAGTATAATGGACAATGGTCTCCAGAACAAGTTGTTATCATGAGATTATATAGCAAGCTAACCTCTATCTTAGTTTAGGCACAGTACGACTGAAACTTGAGCTTCGTGTACATATATATTCATTTTCAAATGGCTGAAAAATGGAAGTTTTCAAAGTTTATTTTTAATTTGGAACTATCAGTCAAAACAGTTAGAACTAATTAAAAGAAAAAAAAAACAGCTGTTGTTTTGTCGAAGTTTACAAGAAGTGACATTGTTTTTAAGAACTAGAGTGATAAAACATCACACAAGGACTGAAAATTACTTTAAGCTATTTATTACAAACTAACCCAATATACGTTTTCGGCAACACGAGGTATCTTATCGAGAGTTTATTAACCAAATTAAGTGCGGACTTTATAGAATTCTGGTAAGTAATATATGTATATACTGGGTGATTTACAAAGAAAACCCTATTTTTGAAATGATTATGTTTTAAAAATTGCTTGTCGTACAGCAACTACATGTCTCCAGAGGCACATTGAAAATAAGGTTTATTCAAAAGAGTCTGGACGTCATAAAGGTTGTTTCAAAACCATAATGTACTGCACATCCATCGCTTTTATCCCAAACTGGCCTTATTTCAATTTCTGACCATTCTCTGTAATATGTCAATATTTTCCTGATTTCAACTTATGGTTCTGAGAATTGTCAGTGAAGGCCCAAACTTCTTGTAAAACATCATGTTTTGTAATCTTATTTGTTTGTCCCTACAAGCATCCTTGTTTGCTTTTCTGTATATGATTTATATGACCAAATATGTAACAAATAAAATGGAAGTTTTCACGCTTTGTTACAAAATTTGTAAAAAATTACTCTAACATTTAACCTTTAGAATTTTTTGGTACTAATTATGATTTTATATCTACATGTTAATGATATTATTAAAATTGCATAAATTTACATTAAGTAATTATATATGTAATACTTATACTACGTGCAGGTACATATATTGGCTTACTTCTGCGTGTATAATGAAATGACGGTCGTAAAAAGAACATTTTTATGCGGTTAAGACATTTTATCGCATGAAAGATAACATTCCTTTACGGCACTGCGACTTGGGCAAATGTAGCACTTTGATATCATGGCAACGGTTTCCATAGAAACCAGAAACGACCGCTTGCTTATCATGTAAACTCTCTGGAAGGTCTGCTTTAGATAGGTGACCACATAAAAGAGAAACTTAATACAGCAAAATATATATTGCCAAACCAAGCATATTTGATTAAAGACCCAGATTAATTACAGCTTTCTTTTTTCTTTTCTTTTTCTACTGGATGGCATATCTTATGATAAAAAAGTAACGCTATAATTAGCAACGTTCTTTTGTTACGTTTTCTAAATCCCCTCTAAGCGTATATGTTGTCGACGTCATTGGTGTCAGGTTTTTCTACTTGATTTTGTACCTTTCTTGTCAAGCTACTAACACAAAATTAAATCCTTTTAGAAATACGTTACGTTTGTTCGTTGCTGTTAGACCAGAGTCACATTGGGTTATCTGCTGTGCCAACCGCTAGGAATTGAACCTTGGATTTTGGTGCTGTAAGTCCGTAAACTTACTACTGTTCCACCGGGGGGATCTGTACGTATATTTAGATGAATGTAAGAGTATAAGTGCTAAATTATAGTGGTGGTTTAAGAACTTTTATAATAAACATATGTATGTTAATACTGGTTTAAACTACTGAGAGAGTATGTTTTAAAGTTTAAACTTACTGCAAGAATCTATAAGAGACGTGTGTGCGTAGCATTAGTTTAAAAATGACTGACAGAGAACGTTTTAAGAATGTGTACAAATAATACTGAGTTTAAAACTACCGTAAGAAATGTACGTGCAGCATTGGTTTAAAACGACCGACAGAGAAAGTTTTAGAGTGTGTACAAGTAATACTGAGTTTAAAACTACCGTAAGAAATGTACGTGCAGCATTGGTTTAAAACGACCGACACAGAAAGCTTTAGAGTGTGTACAAGTAATACTGAGTTTAAAACTACCGTAAGAATTGTCCTTGCAGAATTGGTTTAAAACGACCGACAGAGAAAGTTTTAGAGTGTGTACAAGTAATACTGAGTTTAAAACTACCGTAAGAATTGTCCTTGCAGAATTGGTTTAAAACGACCGACAGAGAAAGTTTTAGAGTGTGTACAAGTAATACTGAGTTTAAAACTACCGTAAGAAATGTACGTGCAACATTAGGTTTAAAACGACCGACAGAAAAAGTTTTAAGAATGTGTATGAGTAATACTGAGTTTAAAACTACTGGAAGAGACGTGTGCGTGTAGCACTAGTTTAAAACGACAGAGAAGGAATAGGTTAAAGTGTGTATGTGTTACACTAAGATTAAAACTACTGTAAAAGACAAGTGCGTGTAGCACTAGTTTAAAACGACTGAGAGGTAATGGTTTAAAGTGTGTAACAATGAATTTAAAACTATATACACGTGTACATGTAGTGGTAGTTTAAACTAACTGTGTAATTACAGGTTTAAATCTATGGTAAAAGAAACTAGTTGACGTGTATGTATAGTGTTAAAAGGGTTTGAAGAGAATGTCTTACAAGTGTAACACTCAGAGTAAATCTGTTGTAAGATCATTTAGAAAACTTGCACGTGTAGCACTAGTGTAGAACAACTTAGTATTTGTATTTTGTTATGTAAATATCGAAAATATAACGCTGTATTGAATTATTGTTTTACCGAGTTTTTAACGTTCCACTGCTTCACTCACTCACCGAGTGCTTAAACAGTTGAGGATTAAGTAAAATAAAGTGGTATAGATATACAAGGTTATTAAAGGAATTAGGATTATTGATTTAAACAACTCCGACTCTTTTAAAACAGTAACAATACCATAATGTTTAACAATGCATGAGTCGAGCAAAATAAGGACTGTACGCAGCCTACCAGTAAGTAAATAGACACCCTAGGGAATTTAAATCGACTGTCTCTATTACGTCATATGGAAATAATCCCCACCTTTAAACACGGATATAGCTCGTGAAAACCATAGAATACAAACAGCCACGCCACGAACGAAAGAATGTTGGTAATTAACCGTATTTTTACGAGGCCGTATAGATAGACAATAGGAGGATGGTCAAAGTCAGGAAGAAATCGATAGGTCATCTGGAACACCGCTGTCCACTGTGAGCGGAGTGACGTTTAGGCAAGTCGAAAAATCACAGTTTCAACACAGTTTTGCGGGCGCCCAAAACCAACAAAATGGACTCCTATTCTCCAAGAAGTAGTGTGAAGAATGACCCACGTCAAATGGGCATTACTATTGCAGGACAAGCGCAAGTGTGCACCGATACCATCAGAAGTTGTCTTCATAGCATGGGCTACAATGGCAGAATAACTAAACGGAAGACATTCACTCCTCACTTCAGGCGATATCACACTCTCTGGCCATTTA